TACAAGAATGCTGATTGAAAGTCATTTTTTGACTTTTACCACTGGTTCAAAAGAGCTTCTGTCCTGGGAAGAACCAGCAAGAAACCCAGCGGGATTTTCATTTAAATAAAATAAATTTACAATATATTATTTTATAATATTTAGAAACAGCATGGTAGAGATCACCTCATTCGCATGGGTTATTATCAATCATTTGGTCTCTTTCACTAATCTTATAATCTCTCTAGTAGTATATTAACCCTTAGTAAACAATATATATATATATATATATATATATATATAAGGCCTGCATATTTTTTGAGACTTAGTTGTAAAAGCGTACACATTGATGAAGGAATTACTGACTCTTTGGTATCGAGTAACTGGTATAACTAACTTGTGCTTCCTAGTATTTACAGAATTTACATCACAATTTTTTATGAAATTGATTTTTGTTTTTGTGTACATTCGGTGATACAACTGTATTTTTGGAACAAATGCAGGTTAGAGTGTAATGCTTTTTTGCCGTGAGGTCCAATCAACCTGTTTCGTCGTTTTTATAGAAAGAGGTGTGGAGTCTTAAGACCTTGGGGAATTCTAGAGAAATCTTATGGTTTACGATAGAGAGTGGCATATTCACCGACGTTAGGTCTAAAATACCAAGATCACCGACGAGCAACAGCGTCAAAGGTGCCAGACGTCTGGTACTGTAATCGTTAATGGCCCTCCTAACCGAATTTCGATCACAGCGGCCAGCTTCAACGGAGACTAGCCATCGGCGCAGGACAGGGTTATAGTACCCCACACTTTCACAGTCCGACGAGCTATGTCGGACTCGCTCTGACCAATGGTGTACCACCTCTGCCGCATATTGTTAGTCCAATGGTGTACCACCTCTGCCGTATATTGTTAGACCAATGGTGTACCACCTCTGCCGCATATTGTTAGACCAATGATGTACCACCTCTGCCGTATATTGTTAGACCAATGGTGTACCACCTCTGCCGCATATTGTTAGACCAATGGTGTACCACCTCTGCCGCATATTGTTAGACCAATGGTGTACCACCTCTGCCGCATATTGTTAGACCAATGGTGTACCACCTCTGCCGCATATTGTTAGACCAATGGTGTACCACCTCTGCCGTATATTGTTAGACCAATGGTGTACCACCTCTGCCGTATATTGTTAGACCAATGGTGTACCACCTCTGCCGTATATTGTTAGACCAATGGTGTACCACCTCTGCCGCATATTGTTAGACCAATGGTGTACCACCTCTGCCGCATATTGTTAGACCAATGGTGTACCACCTCTGCCGCATATTGTTAGACCAATGGTGTACCACCTCTGCCGCATATTGTTAGACCAATGGTGTACCACCTCTGCCGCATATTGTCAGACCAATGGTGTACCACCTCTGCCGCATATTGTTAGACCAATGGTGTACTACCTCTGCCGTATATTGTTAGACCAATGGTGTACCACCTCTGCCGTATATTGTTAGACCAATGGTATACCACCTCTGCCGTATATTGTTAGACCAATGGTGTACCACCTCTGCCGCATATTGTTAGACCAATGGTGTACCACCTCTGCCGCATATTGTTAGACCAATGGTGTACCACCTCTGCCGCATATTGTTAGACCAATGGTGTACCACCTCTGCCGCATATTGTTAGACCAATGGTGTACCACCTCTGCCGCATATTGTTAGACCAATGGTGTACCACCTCTGCCGCATATTGTTAGACCAATGGTGTACCACCTCTGCCGCATATTGTTAGACCAATGGTGTACCACCTCTGCCGCATATTGTTAGACCAATGGTGTACCACCTCTGCCGCATATTGTTAGAGTCACGAGAACCTTTCGCACACATCCGCCGCCCCACCAACACCGAACCCCTCGGAAGAGGACAACTCCTATCTCTTTTTTTATAGGATAAGGATGACAAACGAGCACGCAGTGCATCTGATGGTAAGTGGTTGCTGTGGCCCATAGAGATGTAGATGTCTATGGGCCACAACTCGATTATGTATCAAATTGCAGATGCGTTGTCACCCGTCAGGACTAATATGGAATGCCTCGTTTCCAGTAAAAAGGGTCTCCGGTTCTCTACACTCACCATACGATACACAGCAGCGTTAGGCTGCTATTTTACGATGGTATTCTGTGAGAGCGTGGTCCTTCCCTTCCCGGGACGAGCCGACCCATTCATTCTTTAAACCGTATAGTTGTAACTATACGGTTTAAAGAATTTTATTTCTCATAAGAACATACATTGGTCACTTATAATGAAAATACTATCTATATTATATTATACTACTAAAATAGCTGCAGCATGGCTCTATCACGTAAAAAACTCTCCCTTCCAGGTAAGGCGCACTGGAGTTCATTGACACCTGCAGATAACTTCAGACACAGAATACTGCAGATGTGTTGTCACTTTTAAGGTATATTTTGGAATACGTCACAGCCTGTAACTATACTGACTCTCCACACTCTTCATACCGGAACACTGCAGTGCAAGCACTGCTATTTGTCAGGAGAAATAAGTAAGAGAGAGGTACCTATCCAGACGGACTGCTGGGCAGAAAAGGATTAGGACTATAGTAACTTGGAAGTTTAGAAAATATGACAAATGTTAAAATGAGCATATTCGGCCTCGGTGATCAATAACACTTGACATCGATGACGAGTTAATGAGTCAACTTCAAGAATATAACAACAGGTGAAGGGTAAGGTCTTGGTGAGTAAATATCTAACAATAAATCAATCAGCGGAAGATGATGAATTAAATTGGCCGACGTCTCAGTGATCGCCCACTGATTGTATTGTATTAGATAACTTATTGTAGATCAATAAGCAACCGCACTACATGTAATTAATGTATTATATATAATGGCATAAAATATAATAGAAATATTTTTATTCAATATAGATTATAAATTATACTTATTGAACGTCACTCTTATGTTTAATTTACCTTTAACTCGTTCGTATAGTAGAATAGAATGTATTTATTTTGACACTTACTTTCAATAAATCACACCACTGAAAATGTAGTGCTTATTAAAATGGTTGTTTCTCAAAAACTTTAATAACTTTATATTAAATGAAGATATCGCAATATTATTTTAGATAAGGACCAAGTTTCTACGAAATAAAACTTAGAAAACTTAATTGAAATCTATCCAGTAGTTTTTCTGTGATGTGCGCACAACTGCACACTTCTAGCATTTTATTTATATAGAAAAAAAAATTACGTCATTTTATCTTCGTTTCATCCTAAGGTTGACTTGTAGTGAACGCATAAGGACATTAAGTCCACCTATTTACATTATATTGTGTTATCAAGTTAAATAAATATATAAATATTTGTACTGTACACAAAGTCAGGTAATACAGTAAGTAAATAACAAACAGATGCTGCGCCCAGACGCACGCAAGATGAATGCCTATTGAAGTGCAAATCTAATGCACCGCAAATGCCGGCACGTAGGAATTCTCGGTGCCCTACTTCATCTATCAATTGCGATATTAGAACATCACATAGAGATATAATGATGCAACTATGTTACGAATACATTATAAGTATTAAAAGAAATATTTTATCGACGTTAAAGAATTAATTGGAGATCAAAAAGTTCAAATACATTAATTACAAAGAAAGTCTTAAAAAAGTATTAAAAAAACATCTTAGATAATAACGTGAAGTAATTAGGTATTTCAAATACACTTCATATTTGTTATAAAAGACTAATAGAGAATTAAAGATATAAACAAATTATCGATATCGATAAGATAGTGAAAGTTTCGATAAAACAGCATCGTGGAATTTTTAGGGGAAATTTTAGTAGTATAATAAGATATTGGTGATATAGTACGAGTATGTAACACGTCCCGTGTATTTCAGAACTCCAATTCAAGTTGAACTAAAATGTTTGAGATATTTTGATACTGCTTTTATATCGTAAACTTTATTTTTTACATATTGAAAGTCAAGCATAGAAAAAGCTAATTTTTAAAAGCTTAGAGAAAATTTAAGATGATAATCTAATTATATCATACTTATAAATATAATAATAATGTCCCTCGGACCGAATTTCGGTCACGGCGGCCAGTCTCAGCGGAGACTAGCCATCTGCGCAGGACAGGATTATAGTGCCGAAGTGTGCGCGCAAGCACGGGTGCGCTCTCTATTCCCTCACTCTCATAGTCCAATGGGATGGTTTACGACATGACCGGGGAGAGACCAAGCGCAGCATCAACGGCTTTACGTGCTTTACGATTCAAGGGGGTGAAACATCGCCCACTTTATGGCTCCAGGCTACTACTCAGTATTTCTTTCAGAATAACCCAATAAATGATTTTGATCACCCAAGTTCGTGAATAGCGATCGCGTTTAAATTCACTAGACCAACGAGATGGTCAATATATAGTAAATATAATAATATAAATGATAAATTATCATTATCATTGATAACACATCCGTACTGAGCCTTAAATCTGCTGCAAAGCTGAGAAAAAAGATATTCTATAAATAATAATAAATACAGAATTTCTGTTTCGCTGGGTTCACCTCCTCGTCCCTTGTCTATTTGGTCTCATCATTTGGCTTTCACATTGTGGAATTTTATTTATTTATTACTAGCTCTTACCCGTGACTTCGCCCGCGTGCAATTTAAGGTTTTAATTATATTGCTCATTATCCTAATTATTTTTCTCAAACAAGAGTAGCCTAAGTTACTCCTTAGAACATCAGCTATCTGCCAATGAAATCGGAATCGAAATCGGTCCAGCCGTTTCGGAGATTAGCCGGAACAAACAGAAGACAGACAGACAGACAGGCGGAGACAAAAAATTTAAAAATTGTGTTTTTGTTATAAGTACCGTATATACATTCATATGCATTTATTAAAAAGATATTATTTTAACATTACAAACAGACACTTCAATTATATTTATTTGTAAAGATAAAGATTATTAATACATTTTATTGTTATTGGTTACATACCGCATTGTCCAAAACCCTTGGATCCATAGAACCAATAGTATCCGCGGTCAGCAAAGACATGTTTCTCAAGAAGGTCTTGAGCTCAGCACCAGCTTTCGCCGTGTACTCCGTGAAGAGGAGCAGAGCATCTGCACTAACCGAATTAAATTCTTCTACTAGCTCCTTTGTGTATCTCTTTTCTATTTCTTCTTGCTCCTCGGAGTGGGGGGCCACGTCTACGTAAATTTCTGCGTTGTTTGGCTGAAACAAAAGGATTCCAGTAAGAACCCATTGAATATGGTATAAAATTTAATATATTTTATGAAATAACTTTTACGCTAGCGACCCTACATACTAAGGTCTTAATATACGAAATAATTAATACGAGTGTAAGGAAAATTATATGGTTCCTATTTCATAGGTAATGTCATGTAGTGGCGGTGTAAGATAATCCACTAACGAGGGAAACCGAAACAGGAAATGGGCAACAGTATATCTAATAACAACTCAAATTAATAAAAAACTACGGTTGCCAACCCGCCTGCCAAGCGTGGCAGCTATTTCGAAAGTCCCACCTATGAGGCAATCTATGGGGAGGCCTATGTACAGCAGTTGACATTTAATAGGCTGTAATATAATGATATATGATAATGATTTCATTGACACCATAGTTGCATACTTGGAACGCTTAGCGTAAGGCTGGCCACATACATACGGGATCCGTTTCGGGATTCCGTTTCGATATTCCGATTCGAAATTCCAAACGCAGCAAGTCCATATAATATCTATGACCCGCCACACACGTACGGTGATTTTCCGTACGGAATTTTCTCCGATACGAGATTCTGTATGACCGCCTGTGCGTTCGGAATCCCGAACGGAAAAAAGCCGCTCCGAACGCAAGTTTTCTATAGATTTTGTATGTGTCGGAACACATTCGTAAATTCCGTACGGAACGCGCTCAGTGTTAGTCATACGGCCGAAGCGATTAGATGTGTTTATGTATGTTTTTATATTTAATCTTATATGTGTATAGCTGTCAAAGCTGAAGACAGAATGTGGCAGCATCGTTTCCGGGACACCTGAGATTTTGAGTGAGATTGAGAGGTTCTATGGGCAGTTGTACACGTCATCGTTGGAGGCACACGCAAGTGTGAGTAACGATCCAAGAGCGAGTCTCATCCGACACTATTCCGAAGATATCCCGGACGTCAGTCTGAGCGAGATTAGAATGGCTCTCCAGCACCTTAAAAACGGTAAGGCCCCAGGCGAGGATGGAATTACAGCGGAGCTTCTGAACGCGGGTGGAAAACCGGTACTTGAAGTCTTTCAGAGGCTCTTTAATTCCGTCCTCCATGGTGGCATTAAACCGGAGGCGTGGAGCAGAAGTGCGGTGGTCTTGTTCTTCAAGAAAGGTGACAACGCTCTCTTGAAGAACTACAGACCGATTTCCCTTCTGAGCCGCGTCTACGTGCTGTTTTCGAGAGTCATTACGAATCGTCTCGCGCGCAGACTTGACGACTTCCAGCCTCCCGAACAAGCCGGTTTCCGAAAGGGCTTTAGCACCATAGACCACATACATACCCTTCGGCAAATTGTACAGAAGTCCGAAGAGTACAATTTGCCATTATGTCTGGCGTATGTGGACTATGAGAAAGCCTTTGATTCCGTCGAAATTTGGGCGGTGCTGCAGTCCCTTCAGCGGTGCCAAGTTGACTGTCGGTATATCGAAGTGTTGAAGTGCTTGTACAGTAGGGCTACGGTGGCTATCCGAGTACAGAACCAGAGTACGAAACCTATCCAATTGCAGAGAGGTGTAAGACAGGGTGACGTCATATCCCCGAAACTCTTCACCGCTGCATTGGAAGACGTTTTCAAGCTTCTGGACTGGAAAGGATACGGTATCAACATGGCAATGGCGAGTACATCACTCACCTTCGATTTGCCGACGATATAGTTCTTATGGCAGAATCGCTGGAGGACCTAAGCACTATGCTCAATGACCTCAATAGTGTTTCCCAACGGATAGGTCTTAAGATGAACATGGACAAAACAAAGATCATGTTTAATGTCCATGTCACACCTATGCCGGTAGTTGTTGGGAACACTAAGCTCGAAGTTGTTGACGAGTATGTTTACCTGGGACAAATAGTCCGACTAGGTAAGTCCAACTTCAACCGAGAGGTCAATCGACGGATTCAACTCGGCTGGGCAGCGTTCGGGAAGCTACGACACATCTTCTCGTCAGACATACCTCAAAACCTTAAAACGAAATTGTACAACCAGTGCGTGTTGCCAGTGATGACTTACGGATCTGAGACGTGGTCCTTAATTGTTGGCCGTATGAGGAAGCTCAAGGTCGCTCAGCGAGCTATGGAGAAGGCTATGCTCGGAGTTTCTCTGCGTGATAAACTCAGAAATGAGGATATCCGCAGTAGAACTAGAGTGACCGACATAGCCCAACGGATTAGTAAGCTGAAGTGGCAATGGGCCGGCCATATAGCTCGAAGAACCGACAACCGATGGGGAAGAAAGGTTCTCGAGTGGCGGCCTCGTACCGGTAGGCGAAGTGTAGGGCGTCCCCCCACGAGATGGAGTGACGACCTGGTAAGACATGCAGGAAGTCGATGGATGCAGGTGGCTCAGGACCGTTGCTTTGTGGCATTCTTTGGGGGAGGCCTATGTTCAGCAGTGGACTTGTGAAGGGCTGTAATGATGATGATGATGATGATGATAGCTTTTCGTAACCTTTCATCTTATTTCATTTAATAATTCGTCGAAGGAATTTACAAACATCCATATTTAAAAAATATCTTTGGAACTCTGGATAGATAGATCTTTTTACATAATAATGACTATATTGCATGCTTAGGGTGATAAGGGGATGCACCTAGTAAGAATGATACAGCAACAATGGAATAACAATTAGAAAATCGTCGTCATTATTCGTTGGCCGAATGTCTAGACTCAATGGCTAACGTCTCTCAACTGACCCATGTTATTCCGAACGGAAATAAACGTATGTGTGTGATGCATTCACGGAATTCCGAATCGGATTATCAAAACGGAATCCCCAAAACGGAATTCCGTATGTATGTGGCCGGCCTAAACATATAAAACAAATTTCTTTATGCTATATTTGGTTTGTAATATTTTTAACCGACTTCAAAAGGAGGAGGTAATTAATTCGACTGTATGTTCTTTTATGTGTGTACCTCCTAACTTTTTTCTAGGTGAACCAATTTTGATGATTTTTTATTTATTTTTTTATTTAAAAGCTGATGCTTCTCATGTGATCTCATATAAATTTGATTAATAGTTTTTGAGTTATCCTTAATAGTTTATATTGAAGTCGATTGTACAACATTTTACGGAACATCGACAACTCTTACATAAAATAATGCGTGTTTATGATATCCGTTCCGTTACAGCCTATTAAAGTCCACTGCTGAACATAGGCCTCCCCCATATATTGCCTCATAAGGAGGATATTTGCCGTAGTTGTAATGTTACTGATGATTTGAAAATTTCACCTCTCAGTGGGTCATGTGCTCCTGGTAGATTATCTTCTATACATCCATTCATTACAGCCTATTAAAGTCCACTGCTGAACATAGGCCTCCCCCATAGTTATCCCGTGGTTGTTGTAAGAGGAAAACAAATAGGAGATGGGTATCAGCGTCTTTCTCATAACGACCAAAAATAAAAAATGCGGTTGTCAACCCGCTTGCCAAGCAGGGCAACTATGGCTAAAATCCCCATATCATGACAATCTATTGGGGACTTATGATATAAAACAGGTAAAATTTTTCTTTTTCTAATCATGTTACCTCTACACTAACATATTTTTCAATTTACTTAAATAAATTGCAAAAGGACAAGTATCCAGAGCCAAAACAATTATTTGTAGACCATACAAAAATTTGTTCCGTGTGGGATTTGGATCTGCGGCCTACAGCGCCGCATTTCATTGCTAAGCTACTGCGCCACAGCACCGCATTTATTACAACAACAAAAAAACACAAAAAGTCCAATTTTTGAGAATAATTGTTAGTGGCAAACAAGACAAACTAGAGGTATTATTTTATATTAGTATTAAGTCAGAAAGATAAACCCAAGAGATTTTAAAACTTAATAAATATCGATAATTATAATCATTTAAGTACGACCCTATTTGAGAGCACGTGAGCAATGCTAAACACGTGAACACTTATTTCCGAGTATTCTTGTAGAAGTCGGATAAGATAAATTATGCTTTTATCGGATGCAATTGAATGCACTTTTGCACTAGGATGACGAATGTGTTTTGGAGAAGCTCTTAATTTTCCGCTGTGATATGAAATAACATAAGCGTTTTATCGCACTGGAATTACTTTGTCTATGGTTTAATATAATGCCAATAATAGAATATGCCAAGAATAGAATACTATGTTTTATTATTTTGATAGATTATAAACAATAGATACTTATGAATAAGCCAGATTCAACAACAAGAAGGTCCTTTATTCAACGTGTATGTTTTTATCTATGTTCACCGAGCTTTCGAAGACAGCTCAACATATTTGAATGTCTCTTCTTGGATTAAATTACATTGTGGAGTGGTTCAACAAATATTAAAAAACTTTATAGGATACTTAATATTTTTAATTGTAAATGGGTGATAAACAAACAAGACTAGAACCGAAACAAATAAACGAAATAAAACTAGTTCTACTTGTATAGATAACATTATTGTCAATTTAAATGAATGTAAACAATGTGTCTTATACAAAATTTTCGTCAGTCAAGTCAAAAACTTTCTGATCATAATGTAATTAAATTAGAAATAGTTAATCATAAAAACTGTAACAATAAATATGAAGCTTATGTAGGCAGAAACTTTTCAAGGAATACTCTTGAATAATTTAATTGTTTGAAAAAAAAATTACACTGAGGTTAAATCAGAAATTATAATGGCTGATGACCTGAATGCAAGAATGAGAATTTTACAAGATGCGTTACACCACTATTACAACATTGCTTTTCCAAAAATTAAAAATTAAACAAGTAAGAAGCAAACATAAAAATGGACTGCATTAGGTATAGAAACGATTAAGAAAATTTTAATTAAAATGAAAATATTACAAGAGCATTACCCTACCCTACAAAGAAAATTGAAAATCAAACAAATTTAAGAAAACATTACTAAAAAAACAATGATAACCGCAAAAAAATTACAATATCGTATCAGAATTTGGGAGGCAAAAAATAAAATTAAAGAA